TCTATGTAGCAGATTTTAAACTGTAATGCGAGGCCACTGAGCAAAGACAAAAGTTAGGTACTGCTGTGGATCAGCCAACTCCATTACTGGAGGTAAAAAAATCCTGAAGAATGAAGAGCAGGGAAATCATACCTACCCAATCATTTTTTGAACACACCCTGAAATACTCTGAATTCTTACAGGCAATCTGCATTTCAGCTTTGAGAATACCTGAAGACAGGCAGAGTACAGAAACAGAACTGTAACTTAAATTCTTCTGTGCTTCAGAAAATACCTTCACAGGCCACACTTGTCTCTGTACAATATTCCCATTCATATTTACTTATACTCCTTCGCTATTCCTTCCCTTGTTCTCTTCCCAGGAATCTTTTTTTCACTGGTCCTATTCCTTTTGTTTTACTGCAAGTGCTTTTTCAAAAATGCAGCAACTGATAAAAATATCTCTTCGCTGCCCTCTTTCCTCAATGCTTTTTGAGCCTAATTAGGAGTGTCATATGAAGAAGGATTCTAAGAGGAAGTGGAAAAATTGTTGCATAACTGAGGAGGATGAGCTTTGCAGTTAACGGCTGTGTTTGTTACAGGTTTATCCCTCAAGTTTAACTCCCCTAAATCAGTAGGTCAGCTCAAAAGCAAATCCCTCCATCAAAATCTGGAAGAGGAAAAAAAAAAAGCTTATTTACACTTGAAGTTGTGTGAAGATAGGCAAAAAAAATTCCACTACTGGAAAATATCTTTCAAACTTTACATATAATTTCTAATATTTTGAATAGAAAAACAAAATGAAGAGAAATTTACCACATCTACACAAAAGATAATTTAGTGATTTGAAGGCATCCTGTTCACAAAGTGAGGAAAAGCTGTATGAATGACTGGTTTCTTATTCCCTGTGCTAATGGTAACCCACCCCAGTAACTTCCATGTTGAGAATGAATCTTCACCAAATACCTGAGTCTACTGACTTCAATTAGTTTGGCCCACGAACACGAGCTACAACAATGTGCAATTTTGGTTCTACCCCCAGTATGGAGTAAGGAATTTGAGTTTCTTCTGTGGAAAACGGTAACCATTAATAAAATCTGAACTTACTATCCCAGCAGGCCACTAGAGCTCTAGAGAAAAGGAAACACAAAAAGGTTTTAGGAGGTGTTGAAACATTTGTTTTGAAGTTTTATTACAAAAATATATTTGCAAACATACAAAATTTTGGATGAAAAAATGCTCATTCTTAAACATTTATGCAATAACTTAATAATTGCAAACATACATAGGTGCTATAAAATCCATACCATCCCAAAACGTTAACGATGCAGTATCTACATTTATTAACCGACAATTATTCTGGTTTCCAGAAATCTTTCCTGAAGCTTTCCCTCCCCATGGTCTTGGTATCGAAAGGACATGCAAATGGCTACAACTGGTGCATCCACAGAAGTGATAAAACTTGGAAATTACTAAAAGCACATAAGGTACATAAAACCCTAACCATATGCCCATACACTGAGTAGACAGAAATAAATACACCACCAAATCAGATACTGCAAATTTTCCAGGTGAAAGGAAGATATTGCATCTTAACATTTTTGTAACATTGCCAGACAAAACTGAGGTGATACATATTGCACACATTCCTCCTGTAAAGATATGCTGCACAAAGCAACCCAAATACCTGGCAAAACGGTGGCTGATGTATTTAGAATCCTTTGAAGAGACAAGAAGTCCCAAATTAAAGTCTCTTCTTTTTCCTAAAATATTTCAGAAATTATATCAGTGACTACACATGGCATAATGGGTTTCAGGAATAAAACAAAATGAAGCAATTAGAAATGCAAGCAAAAATGAGACACATCCAGCAGGTGAGTGTTGAAATATAACATTGAGTATTTATACACAGAATTAAACATTTGCTATAAAATCAAGATGAATCACGTTTTTTTAACCTTTATTCAGTCATTCTGCAAATCTTATTTGATTTGGAAAGCTGCACTGCTGCTAAAGTTAATAGCTGTTAGGCACCTTGCATACAAACTTTGCATTGTTAAATAACAGCAGATAAAGTCTAACTACAAAACTGAGAAATTTGATTTTCCTGAACAATTCAGCAGCTCTAGGTTTTAAACTGTCTTACTTTAGGTTTGAGTTTGGATTTTTTTTTCCCCCCAAAGTGACTTAACATGAGTCACAAAGCACATTCCTAGATAAGAATTAATTCGGGGAATATAGTCTAATAATCTTTCAATTCTCAGAACTAACAGGTAAAACCCCATTAAGCCAGTAGTTTAAAAAAAAGAAAAAAAAAAAAGAAAGAAATCACTTGAAAATGGTCACAGCCATTTCCTGTGATGACCCTGGTAACCTGCTACACACACTGGCTATCCCCACATGTGGGTCACATCCAAACACTCCAACAAGCTGCTGATTTTCAATTTATACAAAAAGCTAAAATAATTAGGGGTAAAAAGCTTTTAAATACAGTCCACATTTAAAAAAAAATACTCAAATTTCACACTGTAGTTGAGCTTGTGTTTTACAACGAACTTCTCGTTAAATGATCTGTTAAAGTACTACCCTGGCACTCGTCACACCTCTCAGTGTGCTGAGGACACCTAGGCTGGGTCCCACAGAGGTTAGAGCACACACACACACACACACACACACGTGTTCGAGATGAACACTTTGCTGTTGGAACTACCATTTCCACTCTGGTTCTCCTCCCATTCATTCTGAAAACTATGGGCAGGGGAGTGAGCCAACCATCTATTGCTACCAGTACACTACAAAACCAAAGCCACATAAGGATCTGTCAGCTGCTTGTGAGGGCTCCTGGACAGCTGGAAACATGTTAAAGATACTCAAAGTAGTCTTAGTTTTGCCAACTGTATATGGCTGAAGAACTCAAAATACAGCTCCTTCCTGTCATTTCTAGAATTTTTGGACATGACTGTACTTAGCTAACAGGACCCATGTGCACTATCAGCTTCCAGCACTGCTGTTCTTATCAACTCTTATCAAATCTTCCTTTGAGGAAACTGGAAGCTCTCCACACAAAGTGAGAAGTTGTGAGCTCATCTATGCAAAATCCAGATAAAAGTAACTCTCTATTTGGTTTAGACTGTCCATTTTTATTCAGAAGAACTGCTCATTGGTTTGTCCCTTTTAGTGACACTTTTCCTAAAAACCCCAACAAAAAATTTCACTTAGACTTTAAATCTGAGTCTCACTGGTTATGTACATACACAGTATTATAACTCTAGAACTTATGGAGGAAGCTTCTATCTTCCTTAACAAGGCTCAGTTTCTATTGCTGAATTCAAATGCTACCATTAAATCAAATACATCTCTTGATGAATGTGCATGACATTAGCATCTTTCCCTGAATCTTGCACGTTTTTCTAACAGACTATATATTTTAACTGGAAACACTGAATTTGAAGGCTGAGAAGAGCTTTTCAGAAGGCAGGTAGTGCTAAACAAAATATATTTTCCACTAAAAAGCTAAGAAAAAACCTAAAATAGATCAAATGCATAAAAATGTAAATATTTGTTATCTTTAAAACATACTGATTTGTGAACAAGTCACAGTTAAAGCTCAATTACTAGTTTCCAATGAAATGGCCATGCACCTTGACTACGTCAACATGAACTAATCCTTAGGATATATATAAATACATATATGTTGTAAGAAGCCAAACATTTTTCTTCATATTTCAATAGTGCTTGAGGGAAAGAACAAAGCAGTGCATCATAACTCACTATGGATTATCTTTTTACTCAATAACCCAACACTTCTACTGAACAAGTATCCTTTAAAATTACTATTGCTCAAGAAAGTTGGGACCTGAAGTCCTATTAATTACCTTCACATCCCTCAAGAAATAAATACAAGCCATGGGTAAACCAACATAGCAGTATAAGAAAATATACTTAGAAATTTTCTGATTTCAAATGGGAAAGTATCCAGTTAAATTCTTAGTGAACATTGACTTACTAAATCACATATAAGAAGAGATAACATTTTAGATAACCTTCAGACTATGAAGTGAGCACTAACAATCTGGGGAAAGGGCAACAAAAGAAAAGCATGCATTTGCTTCCCATCTGCATAGTCTTCAACACTGCAGTTCCAACACAACTGAGGAATGAAAGCCAACTATGTGTGGTCCATCCTTAAGCTAAAAGGGAATAAAGTAGTTAGATGTTATCAAATGCTGCTGAACAGGAAGAGAATCTTCCAGAGGCCATCGCCTAACTATACATTTAAAATAAGAGAACTTCAACATGCAACAGAACTACTCTGTTCCTTAAAAAAATAACAATACAATCACTGAGGATTTTGCATATTTCAAATTTTGCCTTTTTAGAGAAAATGGCCTTATGTGGTACCTGTCTAATGTCAGCGATGCAGAAGAGAGCAAGATTAATGAAATATTGAAATGATGGATTTATGTGCATTAGGCACAGACTGTCAATGTTTGAGCAAATCACATTTTTGGACCTTTTGCTGAAGATTTAGCTCCAAAGGCCTGGCTGCCAGATCCCTTCCTTCCCCATACCTGCCAGCTTAATCAAAGATTTTGCTCTCCTTTTCCTTAGTCCTTCAAACAGGAACTAGGTTCCCACAACTGAATTTTGTTCTTATGTGCTGTAGTGTACTGTACTGTGTATTTGCTGGTTCAAATAGTTTCAAGTCTGTAATCCTTGACTAGTGAATACAGCTAGGAATGAGAGCCAGAGCAAACATTTGCACATTCACTTAATGCTAATGAGAGCTCAAATGCAACTTAAGTCCCCTCCCCAATAAAAAAAAAGGTTTGCTGGTGATGATCACAGTGAAAACCTAGATCACTTCTGAGAACATTACTTTCATAAGTATTTAAAGAATAGTATTTCCTAACAGGTTCAAATTCAAGACACTGAAAACTAAATATTCTTTACAAAAATATTAGTTTTATAGATGAGGCATAATTGTTTCTAAAATGGATTTTAAGTAGATCCAGCTTCAATTATAGCTTCATGTTGTCTGTACTCTTGGCTAGGACTTGCAAGTAGACCTCATGGATAGTGCTGAGAAAACGGGAATCATTCTGCAGGAAAAAAGAAACACATTAGAAACATTAGTAAAAAGATGTTATAAAAGTTTAATTTAATGCCTAAGCTGTGCACATGGACTAAATTGTGCATAAGGATTCCTTACAGTGCCAGCTATCCAAGAGTCAAGAGACAGGAACTAGCTGGGTACTTGGCAAAAGGCAACACCACACAGACCATGCACAGACCATGAAGCTGGTAAGGCAGCTGAAGGAATCACTAAGCACACTGGATGCTCAGACAAACAAACAAACCAACCAGGAGTCACCACATCAGCATTAGCCACGTTCTACTTTCCTCCAGAGTCCAACCCATAGTCCTAGACATAAAAAATTCCATCCTGTATAGAGGCTCCCAAATAAAGTCTGAGTGTCAGAAGTAATGTTATTTCTGTCTGTCAGACCAGCCTGAAAGGGACTGCAGTGTGTTCTACAGGAATTCTTAGGTCAGAGCATGACTGGGAATCGAATCAGTTTAATCTACAGAAAATATTTACAGATACTTGAGTCTAATTTCTTCAAATGAGACGTTTACAAAACTGGTATCTGATCAGGCAGCTTCTTTTTACAAGATCTGAACAGCAAATTTGGTGTCCTGCTTGGAGTGCCGTGTCAGTACTCCTGTGCTGCAGGATACACCTCTTTGGTCTTCACTCATCTATCTCTCTATATAAAGACTGGAGGCAAATATTCCTGTCAGCTCTCTAAGGTACTCACTCAGACCACTGGCACTCGGGCTCACCTGCAAGACTTACAAGTAAGCTTGTTTATGTCTTTCAGAAAAACCATACACAGCAATACAGGAAAAGGCTGTGCAAAATGGAACACAGATAAATCAGGCACCCTGATGGGGAGATCTTAGTGGCCCTTCTTAGTCCCAACAGCCTGATCACTGGGAAGATATTGTTTGTTATTTTTAGACTTGCATTTTGTGTGTAAGTTCTACTAAGATCAGCATGGAGTGGGCAAGAGAATCAATCCCGAGGTAAAGAAGAACTGTTTGTCATTCATGGCAACTTCACCGTGACATTAGAGGTCAAAATCTCATCGCACAGCTGCTCTCAACATCAGAGTTGTAACTCAACTGAACTTTTAAGTCCCTAGAAATAGCAGGACTGAAACTTTGCAATTTCAATTTCAAAGCAACATACTTCAAGTAAAGATGAGGAAAGGTTCTAGGGAACTAAAACCAGGAAACTTTCCTTGGGTAAGCAGAGCACTTACAGACAGCAAAATCAACTCCCCCCATCCCAGCTCCCACTAGGGTGACTTACTCCTCACTTGCCTACAAATTCATATGGATATGAAAGGACACGGTGCATGTACTCTCTTCTAAGTCCTCCACATGACAACCAAAAGGAGCAAGCTGTGCCATACTATGTGTACAGTGTGGAGTAATCCACCTCTTCCAACAGAAAAGAACATCTCTTGCAATGTTTCAGGGCAAAAAGAGTTATAAGGGTACAGAATTTCTCAGTGGTGGCTACCGCACTCAGAACCCCATCCCTCAGAAACTGAGTTCTGTAAAGACAGGACCTTGATTAGATGTATCAATGCTTCTTGAAGCTGAGATCTACTGAGAACAGTAGGAGGTATAGTCTGAATTTCTGTTGTTCCAAGTGTTAAAGGTGAAGAAGAACTGGCTTTATTCTCCACTTCAGCAGCTTTTGCAGTTGATTGCTGAAACACACTAGGAGACAAGAGGACTGAAGGTGTTACTGTTGTCGTGGCTGTAACAAACTGTGGAGGTACAACCTGCAAAAGAACAGAAATGACTGTGTTCAGCAAGAGTGAAGGCTGGAATAAAGCCTGGAGAGATGAGCATAGGGAAAGTTAAATAAATGGCAGCCACAATTATTCACTCATATTACAGAATAGATGCTCTTAATGAAGAAATATCTATGAAGATTAATATCAGTAAGAATTCTCATTTTCAAAGCTGAAGAGGGTAGCAGCCTTCAACATTCTTGTATGTACCCTTCCTACTCATGTGGTTGATACCTTCCAGAATTTCTGAAGCATAACACAGAGAATGAAAGATGAGCTTTTTGCCTAGGTAATCAAAGGAGCATGTAGGTGTTTTGTAGATTACTATTTTCCTTAGTTTACAGAAAGGCCAGTCCTGCTTCCTTCCTCCCCTACTTCTGTGGTCTCCCACAAATACACTTACAATTTGAGTAAAGTATCTCAAACATTTCTAAAGAGACAGATGAATTATAATTAAAGCACTAGAGTATACTGAAATATTCTAATTCTAGGTATGTTTTCTCCTGGGGGGATGTGGGACAGAAATATTTTGAGGACCATCTTCCCACCTCATTCTTCTACAGGTCTGTCTCCATTTCATTGCAAAAACCCACATACTGCCTTTACCACTTTTTTTTTTAAACACAAATGGCAAATTTTAACACTATGATATTTGCATAAAGTGTACATGAATAAATGTCAGCTTTGAGAAACTCTGACATCTCCTAATAACTGCAATCGTTGTTCAGGATGATAACCTACATCTTACTTAGGCTTCCAAAGTGACCAACATGGGGAAACATAAAAGAAAATAAACAAGCCAGTCTCAACCCAAATAAAAACAACACTAAGTATGATAAGTAAAGATATTTGATACATCAGCAGAAAGAGTTTCCCTTGGATAACCCTCCAAAACCATCTAAAGTTAATGTGTGTATAATAACATCAACAACAGCAGAACAAACAAACTGATTTTGTTGTAGTCGAAACTGAAGACTTGCAGTATGGGATTTCAGCTGAAGACAATGTGTTTATACCAACAAATACAGTTTAGTACACAACATGCACACATTTCTTAGTATTCCCAAATCCATATAAAATGCTTTTCATTAGGTAATTATTTACTAACTGGATCATGAACAGACAGTATAGCTTATTGTATAGCAGGTTGTAGCTAAACCAGCATTTTAGTCTAAGTAGGACCATTTTTACTGCCTTCACAACTAGATCTGGGCATGCTGCTGAAATTCATGTAGTGCAGGTTCGACAAGAATGAGGCAATTTAAGAGATTTGAACAGGGAGGGGGTGGGTAAAGGAAAATTAGAACTAAATTACAGATGGTATCCTGAAAAGAATACATAACAAAAAGGTAATTAGAAACAATTCTTGAAGACTTGACTATTACCAGTTTTTTTAACTGCAACCTGAAATTTAAAACTGACATTATACAGAACTGTTACCCAAGGCAGTTGTAACAATGTTAAATCTGTATTCAGATCACTGAAACTTGCTATTAGAAAGTTTTGCAGTAATAATTGCTTGCTACTCTTTCCTTCCTCCATCTTCCTTTTTTTTTTTTTTTTTTTTTTTTTTTGCTTAGTGTCTTTGCATATAACACAAGGTATCTCAGGAAAACAGGGCAAGGATTGCATTTTATGCCTCTGGGGTACTTAAGGTTGGGCTAAGGCTCAGCAGACCTTACTACAATATTACAGCATTAGCACTGATTGCTTGCTACATTAAAAAAAACCCACCAAAACAGTTCAAACAGTGCAAACTCCTTGCAAGGCTGCAAATCAAAAATGTGCTCTCATTTCCATGTTAGAACAAACAGTAAGAGGCACTGCACACCAGAGCAGTGCACTCATTGACAGAAACTCCCTTAAGTACAGCTTGTTTCTGCTTCCTAACAGCTCAGTGGGCAATGACTATTTGAGATATCAACTGTGTACCACCGATATTTTTTTAACTTTCTAAGAAAGCCCAGTCAATAACTAGCAAAGGTACTTATTTACTTACTTGACTTGCTTTAGACAAAGTCTTCGGCTGTGGAAATACTTCTGATTCCTTGTTTTGTTGTACAGGCTAAGTTAAAGAAAAAAAAAGCAAAGTTACCATCCACAGATCGATGTGCAGGGGTGGTTCTCTGTTTTTAAGGAAGCACAAAAATGGAAATATCAACAGATTTTGGATATAATCTGATAAATTCTGTAAAACTGATATAATCAATGGGAAGTTGGAAAATGAGAAAATATCTGAATTTATGTTTTATGCTTTCAATATTACAGCAAACCTATAAAGCTACATCTCAGTGTAGCACACAGGTATCCCTAGCAGAAAGGGGTTAAAATCGAAGGAGTACAAAACACCCAAAGCAACACAACCAGTAAAAACTGTTAACTTTGTACCCTCAAATAAGGTACAGGCTGGAATTCTACAGCATCAACTCTCATACACTGACCAGCCTGTAACCTTCTCTCCCTTATCACATCACCAGCTCTGAGCAGCACTTTTCTGACACAAGTACAGATGAATTCTTTAGGACTTACTCATCCACAGACAGCACCAGTTTGAAAAACCTCCTCCTCTACAGACAGGTCTGTCACTGATAGCAGATGCTAATGACATAAAACTAATGGAATTGGATTTCTAACTTAGCAATTCAATCAATATCACACAGTGGAAGTCCTTCATTAGTTTTAAAAGGCTAATATATAACAGCACATTTTCCAAGGGAAAAATACATGTAGTCTAAAAACAGTCTCAAGCTTCATGGATATCAAAGCCCACAGAATACCTGAAGGGGAGAGATTATCTTGCTGTTCAAGGCTGATGGCTTACTGTGAGATTCTTTGAAGCTTTCTGGTGTTGCAAGTTGGCCAACCGAGGCAGAGATGTTGGGTGTTAAGGGAGTCTTAGTGAGAGACTGCTGCTGCATTTGGTCATGCTGTGGGGTCAACCTGAGTTTCTGGAGAAGATCAACACTAGTATGAGATGTATTTGAGACAGTTCCTGTATTTGCTGTTGTCAAGGGTGCTATGAGCTGGCTTTGACCAGCCATCAGATTCTGGCTCACTTCAGACGGCGGCTGATTCACTAGTGGGGATATTGGCTTGGCAGTTTGCTGCATAACTTGCATTATACTGTTGCTTTGTTTCAGGCCAGGAAGCATCTGAGCAGGGGCAGCATCCATTGTTGAGGCTGAATTAAGAACAGGGCTTAAATGAACTGAATAGCTTGAAACATTTTTGATATCAGGCTGGGAAACTGAAGCTGGAGGTATTAGCATAGGTGTTAAACAGTCCTGCTGATTGGCACTGGTTTTAACGCTCGGGCTTTCACATTTCCCTAGTGATTGTTGCATTACTGGTGACTGGTCAAAGGAAAAAGGCAAAAGCAAACTGTGCTGCTCTCTGGCAGATGTGTCTGTCTGCAGCTTCTCCATTCTCTCTGGGTTGGGATAGGGAGCTGCAGGCTGTTCCTTTTGTACAGAAGTTCCAAACAGTTCCTCCAAAGTCAGGTGCTTCTGCCTTGACTGAAATGGCTGAAAAGAAGGGAAAAATTAGTTTTCAGTTTAGAAACATACACAGCACTGTGCAGCTCACATGGTCTATTACAAATTCAAGAAAACTATGAGAGACAACTCGGTCAAATGCATGTAAAATGCAGTCTGGATATCAAGTGTGTCCTATTTACAGAAATCCTGAAATTAGTTTCATTTACAAGGAACACCCTGGCTATGTATGCCTTCTCTTTACAGCCTTCTCAGGAGAAACTGTGCTAGTAGTAAGGAAGGGGGAAGGCTATGGATTCTGTCATGAAGATGGTACCTGCCATCATCCATCAGCCCTAACTACACAGGGCACTTGGGAAGGAGAGCCAGGGTGGGAGGGAAGGGGAAACTCACATGTCAAACAAAATCCGCATAGAATTTATGGAGTTGGAAATACCTAAATGGCCTAAAAGATGGGAAAGGAACATAGAAACCAGAAGGGACACAACTGAACTAGCAATACATGCCTACACACTTTTTTCATCAACAGTGCAATAGATGTCATGATAGGTATAAAAATCTGTATAAACCTAAATGTACATACATTTATCTCCTTGGAATGTATTTAGATACACAGTTGCATCTACCAGTCCTTTAGTCTGTCCCAAAAATATACATCTAGCCTACATCACTGACATTGTTAGAAAACTGAGATTTTAAGATTACCATCATTTTAGTATTTTGCTGAAAATATTTCAAACTGTGTTTTACCAAAGAGAAAAGAAACAGCTATTAACACATGTAATCTCAAAATTTCCCCTTTTATTTTTTTTTGAGGTTGCACAGGACCAGAAGTTATGTAAAACAGCTGGACTGAAATACAACATTCTGTTCAGAAGCCTGAATGGCCTGCAGCACAATTCCAGTGTATTCTGATGGTATGTCTAAACAAAGATGCTGCTTCACAATGACAACTACTGTACCATGACATTGCTGTGCTGGCTCTCGTCCTCCTCTCACAGCTAACAGCAGCCAAGGCACAGCAGTGCAGGTGGCACTCAAGTAGCCTAACAAAAATCCCTGAGCTTGAAATCACACTGACTTGTGCCCAGATTATTAATCTCTACTGCCACTGTTCATCATTTTTCGCTAGTTTAAAGTCAGGCACTCTTTCATTCTGCGGCTGAGTCATTCTATAGTTTATAAACCTTGTAAATTATGTTAGGAATTTTTTCCTAGAAAGTTATTCTTTCCTCCCCTGATCTTACTGTTCTGGAGACCTGTCCTTCAACCACAAAGACTCTATTAAGAGAAAAATCACCGTTCCAGATGATTTCAAACTGGGCTTTTCACGTCAGTATGATTAATTGACTAACCTTCCTTTATTAAAACATTACAATAGTCAAGTAATAAACAGAAACCTCCAGCATGCTCTGATCCAAGTCAGACCAGCCCTTTACATAGGTAGTCTCAAACATGAAGGTAATTTCCAGCCTGAAGCATAAAATACATTTTCTGCCTTGTCCACCTCTGGCTGAGGTTTGAGCACATCATCAACTCAGTGTGTTCTGAAGACCCTTATGAGCAGGGGCTGCAAAAAGGCAGCACGATTGCTTTATTTGATAGAAACAAGGTGCTGCTCTGAAGGTTTGCCCAGAAACCATTTCAGATCAGTTAAACTCTATAACCCTAGCTCTGACTGCCAATTCATGGGTCAGTATCAGTATTGGTGTTCACTTTTGTTGACTGCTGCCACAAAAGCATTTCATGACACAACTGATTTTATTTCTGAACTGCCAAGAGAAAAAAGTTGACTTGAAAATATGGTAGAGAAGACATTTATTTTTATTCCTAAATGTGTGGTATCTTTAGCCTGAGAAGTTGTTAGTCAACCAACATATAAGTGTGACATTTTGTGGGGGGGTTAGAAATCTCACTGTACTATCAGATGCACAGAATTTTTAAATTTCACTGGTCACCTGCTTCAATTAGATGAAAAATGTGTTTTGACAGTTGAAACGGAATGTTTTCCCAGCAGTCTTCCAGTTGTCCACGTTACTGAAAACGTGACTAAGCAACACATTTGTGATATATTTCAACCCAGTTAACTGGCTTTACAGAATTACCACTTATGTTAGCCAGTTAATTTTTTCCAATATCTCTGCAGCTATAAATTTAAATAGCGCAACAGAATTAAAAATACGACATTTTACATGTTCTATATATTGACTTTCCCTTTAATTACATCAGAGGATTTTGTTAGAATCTTATTTCCCCAATTTTTCCTTTACTAGTTATTTGATTCTTGTTCTGCAATTCTATGCACTGTCAGGTGGAGCAGTTCAGCTGATTTTATACAGTCTACAGGGAATGACCCAAAAGAACATATCTGCTTCTCAAGCAAAGCCTCAGGCAACTCTGCTGCCACATCTCCAGACCCTGCACGCAGCAAGCTGAGCTGGCTGCCAGGGGTCAGTCCACCACTTATGCTGACCCAAGTGCAGAGATGGAGTTTGCTGTGAGAGCAAATCCCAAACTCCCTACCACTCATTTTAGTTCATGGACTGT